TTGTAAATGAGTTGCAAGAGTTCATTAAAGAACCATTTCATACTCCTGTCAATCTGTCATTTGTTTCAGGTTATTGCCATAAGAAGAGGTTAACCCAAATGAATAAAGGCTCATGTAAGAAGATTTTTTTCTCATTTGTAGAGCTCATCAACTTGACGAGTTCTTTCAATAATGCAAGGCATTAAAAGGGTGGGAAGGGAACCTAAAGCAATTGTGTGGGCACATCCTGCAGTGGGGCCTGATCCAAAGCCTTTTGATCAGCTCCATTGTGTTGGCCATTTTTTGGGAGCCTATAGTATATTGTTCTATTCAGACATACTTCCCCTCTCATTGCCTGAGATAATCAACTGCCACTTTTTATTTTACATTATAATCACCATAAAATTGTTCATTGTTCAAGGCTCCAGTATCAAAAGTAAACAACGAAAAGGTAGTATTTTCTTTACAGAAAGTAAGGTCTATCATTTCAGGAAAATAATAAAAGTTTCCAAAAAGGAAATCTTTGGCCAAAAACACTTTTTAGTCCTTTGTGAAATATTGTCTCTTTTTTATAAAGTATGTTCTTTTTTTCTTATTACAGGAAACCAAAATCTGTAACTATTAAAATGTAGTCCAATAACAACATCTCATCTATTATTTTCTAGACTGTATGTTAAAGGCAAAGCATAAATAGAAAGAATTGAGAAATACCAAATTTCCTTTTGGAATTCAATGAATCATTCCCAGGCTCTGGTTCAGATTTCATGTTTGTGCTTGTGGATGGTTGAATCTTGGAGATTTTCAAACAGGTTCAAATTAAGTTAGAACAGAACTTGAATCCCCTTTGAAACACTGAGCTACTTAAGCTCTCAAACAGCTACAGTAACCATTGCTTTAAATGGATTTTTAGACTTAGTAAAAGAGGAATGCAAAAGTCAATCTGAACACCAGAACCAATAAATTCAGTTGAAATTATGCTATCTATCTATAGACACACACCCCCCCAACACACACACACACGAACACATACCACATTTACACTGTGAAAGTGGAGTGTTTTGGGAGGTTTTGAATCTGCTTGGGGTGTAGATTTGGAAACGTTGATAGATGTAAATGCAGCTGACAATTCACTCATCCTTCCTGTCACACAAATTTTAATCGCCAGAAGAAGAGAAGAAAATAGTGGGCAAGTGACAGTGATTTCATTGCTAATAGCATGGTTGAGTGTCAGTGGCAACAATACTGTGTGCTGTACAGATAAGCAGTATGATGAATTAATGTGTTTCGGTGGTCTGAGGTCAAGCTTTAAGAAGGAGGGGACCTGATCGGAGAGAGAAAGGATGAGGAAGAAAGAGGTGGATCTGAAAGCTTGGGATAGGGAGATTATTACAGCCCTTACTTGGCCAAACTAGGGAGTAAAGAGAAGCCCTATATACACCAACCCTCAGATTGCAACTGCTAGCTGAGGAGGGAGAATGAGGAATATTTACCCTGTATTCTCTGCTCCAAGAAAATGTGAGTTGAAGAGGTGGGGAGTGAGAGGAGACTTTGGTCCCCTTCATGCCTTACTTGTCAACCAGGGTCACTCCCAGGGTGCACAGGGATGGGGCAAGGAAGCCGCTCCATGAAAAGAGATCATGTAACTTTCTCTCCCTGCAGAGTAAGGGGGGGTGGGGGCAACATTTTGACTTTATGGAGTTACAATACCCCCCCTTGGTGCAGAAAACAAAATCTAAGCCAAAGGGGAGAGAGAGCTGAGGACAGAAAGAGGGTGTGCAGAGTAAGAGAACTATAGTTCTGTAACTCCGGGAGATAGAGTTGGAGCAAGATGAGGCAGATGTTAAAAGAGAAGGAAAGGGCTTGCCAACATATACATAGCCTATAAATGTAGATATAGCTCCACCAAAACCGCATTCCCTTATTTAGGACAGAGTCATCTTTGGATGAAAGGTGCTGCACAAAATGTAATTTATTATAGTTCTCAATCTCACAAGGGCTGCTAGTGAGAAAACGAATAATCAAGCTAATCTAGCAATAGTTATGGCATAAAGGGAGCAGAGACTCAATTGAAACACAAGTATGAAAGACATAAAAATAGTCCTAATTACTGGAAAGAAAAATAATCTAGAGGAAAGAAACGGCAGGAAAGAAGAAATAAAAATAGCTCCAGTGGTGAATGAGGAAGGAGGCACATACCTAAATATAACCCTGCCAATCTGAATCTTGAATGTTAGACATGAAAAAGACCTACTGTATTACCCAGTCCAACCCCTGCAAAGTCAAGATTTCCCTCTGGTACATTTTATAATGTTTTCTCCCCTTCCTTTAATTGTCCCAGGTGATGGAGTTTTCATCATTTCTCTTGGGAGACTATGACACAGCCTAATAAATCTTACTGACAGGAAGATTTTCTTTATATTCACTCTAATTTTCCCCTTTCTTAATTTCTTCCCATTACTCTTATTTAGATAGCCCTTGTAGGACCCTAAATGCTCTGCTCACTTCAGAGTATCCATAACACCATTACAATATTTGTAGATGTCTTACATATTCTTTTTCCTTAGTGAAGCTGCCAGTATATGTCCTTAGCTCTATTTAACCTTTCCTCATAAGTCAGTCCTTCGGCCCCTGATTATTTTTGTTGCTTTTCTCTGTACTCCCTTTAATTTGTTAATACTTTCTCATAATAGGGTATTTTAAGTGTGGTCATATCAGAGCTGTGAAGAGAGGGTCTGTAACTCCCTGTTTTATGATGCTTCAAACTGAATGGCCTATTTTACCTGTCCCACTGCAGTGCAAACTCATGTCTAAGTTGCTGCCCTCTGTCACACAGGTGTATTTAGCCGTGTCTGCTCCAAGCTTTCTCTATCTCATTGAGTATGTGTGTTTAGCATTTTTTACCATGCATGCATTAGCCTGCATTTTGAATCTCATCTGATTCTCTGACCATTTTTCCAATCTGCTTAAATAGAGAAATGGGATGTGGGTGGGGCTCACCTTCAGATGTAAAAGACATCAGTAAATTGCAATCTTCTGTGAAGTTCAATAGAAGAAGGTACAGTAGAATGTTCAAAGGTTAGTAATAGGAAAGAAAGAGAAACAATTAAAGCTAGAGGAAGTATATTTTCATGTGAGATTTGAAAAGAGATCAACAATGGGCAAGCAGACATACTAGGTACTACAATACTCTCTTTCTTAAAGATATGCTGTAGCTTAAGAAGTATGGTCTTGATGCAGGAATTACTGGTTGAAATTCTATGGTCTATGCTTGTGGGAGGTCAAACTAAATGATCCTAATAACCCCTTCTGGCCTTAAAACCTAGGGATGAGATTCTGTGTTGTGCCTCTGAGAGGTGCAGTACAGAACTTAAAGCCCAGGGGAGGGGTGGTTGGAGTGGCACGTTATGGTTGTGTATGGTGCTCTCCCAATCCCAAGCAATTTAGACAGGCCTGGGGGAATATCGAAGTGATATCAGCCAGCCACCCAGTGGGCAGCAGCACTGCCAAAATCTCAGTAGTACTATTGTTCCTTGTTCTGTCCCTCTGGTATACCCCCTACACCAGGACTTTTGAGAGGGGTCTTCTGCAGGTAGCTTATAGGCTTTATGTTCCTCTGACCCCTTTTCCAAGTGTACAGGGGCCAGAGTGGATGTGAACATCTCGCATGCATCAGAAGCCACAGAATAGGTGGCTTTCAACAGTCTTCAGAGCTGCAGGGGAGATATTAAGAAGGAGGAGGAAACAAAGAGCATAAGCTGCTAAAATTCAGTGAGGAGATTCAGGCAAGTCCATGGAAGCTTTTTCCTCCATTTGTTACATCTTGTGTTTTTCTAGTAATTAAGTAACAGATGGTGTTCTAACAAATGGACTGTGTTGGTATAAGAATCTGAAAGCATCTCTTCTTTCTTTCCCTAGGAAATGAAATGTTACAAAAAGCCAATCTGAAACACAATACAGAAACATGGAAAATTATATTAGAAAAGGGTAAATTGGTCCACATTTAATTCCAAATACTGAACCCAATTTGATTCTAGATGTGTTCTATTCTCAACATACTCCCTTACCTTCATGGATATCCTGCCAAATCTATTTCAGGGATATCAGGAAAGGCATACTGGACTAAGGAGAGCATCTATACCAAAAGGACAGGCAACTGGCCTGGCTACTGTCCAATCATCTGCATTATGAGGCTACCTTATACTCACAGGAGAGCTATGCAGTTAGGGGTGTTTCTGACCTAAGGAGGCTAAAATCTGGCAAGATTCCATGAAACAGATAGTTCTTATGATAAAGTCAATACTATAATAATATTCAGGAGACTGGTCTGCTAGACATGCTAAAAACCTATTACAGATTTGGCATATCAGCAGAGGGAGGGAGTACTGTGAAGGACAGAACAAATCTCAGGGCCTGTCTATACAGTGTGTGTGTGAGAGGGGGTGATTTCTAAAGTGTACTAATGTGTTGTGCATTAATCATCCATGTAGACCTTATGCTGTGCACTAAAAGTTCCCATATGCACTAAAGGTTCCCATATGCACTTTAATATAGTATTGTTTCAAACAGCACTATTAAAGTACTTTATTAAAAGTACACCAGAAGAGTCTACATTGACCAATTAATGTGCAACACATTAGTGTGCTTTAGAAATCACACCTCCTTAGAGCACATTACCCCACCATGTAGACAAGCCCCTACATCAGGTCAGGATGTAGGAGGAGAAAGAGAATCATTGTGGAAGGAGCTAGAAGTTATCAGGTCAAAAGGCAGGTATGAACCAGCTATCTGCCAGCTACTTGGAGCAAAGAGGGGCAAAGGTGAATTCAAGCTAGGTGGAGGAGAAGGATTTGGTTGGGCTAGATAAGGGATGAGATGGGGAGAGAGAGATCTATATCTGAACTTTTTGGAGTCTTTCAGTTTTCCAAAAAAAAAAAAGGAAAAAATCATTTTAAGGCAACTATTTTCTATAACAATTTGTTTTGAAAAAAAAGACCATTTCATCTCTTTCTTTTTTTTTTTTATCAAGGGAACATTTTGACCAACTCTAAAAATATCTTTCTATATGGCTTGCTTCTTAGAAAGAAAGTCACTTCTATCTTGCTATGTCTGGACTTTATTGTTTATGGCATACTATACAGATGGAGCAATGCAAGACTGAGTTGGACACTCTCCCATTGGACCACTGCATGGACTCCTTAGCCTTTTGGAAACCTTATGTCTGTACAATTTTATCTCCTCTCAGGCAGGTCTGAAATGCGCACACCCACACTGTTGAGCTTTGTGTAAATTAAATGCTTTCTGGCAACACAAGGAACATTTCATGCTTTGTACATTTCCAGACCTGCAGCAAAACGGTAGGTGTTGAATAAAAGCCAAGTCAGAGCCTTTTTTGTAAGTGTTGGATACCCTTGTGACCTACCACTCAGAAGCGATACCATTGAGCTCAGTGCCAAACCCCTACAACTTTCAGATAGACATGATTTTTATTTCCTTTGGTCTCTGCTAAACTGACATGCATTCCACCCGGCTGACGGAGGCCTCTCCAATTGGGAATTTCTTTTAAAGCCAGGAAAAATCAATCCAAATTAAGGTAGGAGCATGAGATCAAACTTCCCGTAATTTATTACAAGCTATAAGTCACTAAAAAGCTAATAACCCTTAATGACATGGGATTTTGGTGAGCTCCACTGTGGCACTAGATTAAAAAATGTAATGATATAATCTATGCATTGAGGTTGAACATTAGTACCTTCATGTCCCTTTGTTTTTTAACATACTCTCTCCTCAGTAGCTCAACAGAACTCTCAAGCCAGCTGTGCTGAATCTAATACCAACATTCTTCTTTTGTGGGACTGTGAAAGATGCTTTAAGAACCCATTGTTCAACCTGATCTAGCCATCCAGCTTGTGTACCAAAGAATCCTTTCAGCTCCTTCACTTCAGGATCATGGCTAGTCTAGGCAAAGGCTATAGGGGCTTTCAATTATTCTTCATTCCAGGTTGCTACTGTTTTTGCTGCCACTTCCACAGGAAGTGTCCACTGGAAGTGGCGGCAAAAACAGTAGCAACTATAACCTAGCAGCTAATATATGTTAAGAAACTGATGTCAAACTAGTATGTTAAATGACAATTGATAAAATAGACATGGATTTAAATTATAAACTAACACTTGCACAAATTAAGCAACATAATAAGGTCATGATAAATCCAGATATCAAATATGAACCCAAAAGCATTAATATGAAATAGGAATAAAGACACAAGTGCTGTCTTCCTGGGTGAAAGGGTACAGTCCAAAATGCCAGAGATAATATGATGGGTGAAGCTTGCCCTTGATTAGAGAGGCTTCTACCGTGTTTTGGAAGTGGAAAAAGTGGAATGACATAGGTGCAGAGAACAAATTGCTCAAGGACAATAGGCTGTCACAGTCTCTCTGAGGTCCTTCCATGGCTTACATATTGATCTGGAGTCTCCATCTGGCCAGTTCTCTGACAAAAACAAAGCAGTCAATCCATACAGACTCCTCTTCCACATGTTGGATTAAATCTTTAAGGTAGGTGGAGACTGCGGAAGACAGAGTGCTGTAGGCAGGACTGGGAAGGTATTAGGGAGGGACTCATCCATGCAACCATTAATCAAAGGGTCCAGATACAAATATCTCTGTAAAAGGCAGTTTAGATTTATTTATAAGAGACTGATAACATTATTGTTTAGATCTGCTCTTTTATGTCATTTAAAGTATTTGGCTCAGCTCCCCTGTGATCTATGAACCTTTCACCATGAGGTCCTATTTGCTTGCCTTTGAGACCAGGCATCATGGATTTGGTAGACCTCCCACTGCTGGATACTCACTAGACTGCTGTGAGGGATCCAAACACTGAATCCCATGTGCCCTTAATTTGCTTTAGCTGGGCAGTGTTTAGACACTGTCCTTGGGTTTGGGCTGCTAGGCACACACTCCAGGTACAGACTTGGTATCTGACCCCCCTCTTGGTAGTGGGCCCCTGTGGTACAATTGCCTAGACCCTGACAGTAGTGCCATCTTCCCCAAAACATCCCCAGCAGCTTTTGCACATTCCCCAGACTTCCACCACAGGTGGAATCTTCTGGTTT